GACATCGGGCATGCGAAAACGTAGAGAGCACATTGTTTGGTGCCAGAAGAAGTCCTCCACCGTGGCAACCAGATTGCAGAGAGGGGGTGCTGCAGGTGATCCCATAGCGACTCCACGCTGTTGCCGGAACAAATAGCCATTGATCTCGAAGTGACTGTTATCAATGACAAAGTCAAGGAGGCATCGAAGATCTTGTTCACGAAAGGTTCGAGGAACCTTAGTTTGACGGCGCCATTTTCCTTTGAACACACGGCGCCGATGATCTGACTTCAATTCGTTCACTGACCATTGTGAGGAGCGGCGGAGGCCGACTACTTGGTCATAACGATGAAGAAGCACCTGTAGTGCCTGATGGAAACGCTCCGTGGGAATGGATGTGAAGAAACCGGAAAGGTCCTGAGACACCAGGTGGATGTATTCGGCGGGATCTGTCTTTGACAGCGCGTCCCAAAGCTGTTGGACAAGCTCCTGAACCGAAAGCTGACCTGGTATGTCTGGAAAGGTGACTTTGGTAAGTTCAAATATGAGGGCGCCGAAGACCGTGAGGAAGGGTGCTGCCCACGTGCGAAAGAAAGAAATGATCGGTCTTGCTTTCTGCCAGTCCTTGGTCGGTTTGGGAAGGATGCGGGCTGTAGGCAACGGTGCTTGGAGTCGAAGTCCCCACGCGTAACGCTGATGTAGGAGAGAAGGTATCGTAGTGACCACTTCTGAGCGAAAGGATGCTGCAGATTCACGACACAGCGAAAAGACTTCTCCCGAGCAAAAGGTCTTGTGCGTCAGTATGGCAAACAACGAAGGACAAATCACATGTGCACGAGAGGGAAAATGATCCGCTGGAATTACAACCCACGAGGATAGAGAAACCACGGTGCGCTGTAGTGATTCGGATGTCCAGTGAGCACGATCATGAAGGTTGGAGCGATGGGCATCAATCAACTGAGTCAAGACAGGCCGTAGATCAGTAAGGAGACTGGATCCATGTACATGCCACCGACGAGCTAGTTTGCGAAGCTGTGTGGTAAAACGCTGATGCAGCATGTCAACATCGCCAAAATATTGATTCATGGACGCGGTCATGATGTCAATGTCGATGTCTGCATTGATGCGTGAGAACTCATCTACCATTACTACATGTTCATGTGCACGGTGTAGGAGGTGATCGTCAATGTCTGAACAGCGACACGGAAAAGATATGTCAGGAGTCCACCTGCGTTGCCATGTGCGGTAGTTGTAGATCCTGTCCCCCAAAGTAGCACTGCGAGTTTCCACCACCCGGATCTTTGGAAGAAATAGGGAGGGGAACAACTCACGATGCGAAGCAACCCAACGTTGTAACCATGTGCCAAGCTGAGCTTTCCAATTCCGTACATGTAGAGGTGGGAGAAGTAGTTGTGTCAAAGTGCTTGGTGATTGGAGTTGTCGTTTGCGCATTACCTGGGTGAGGAGCTTCTGTGCCTTAGAACGAAAAGGCTCGTTGACGAAGACGGAGAGTCGTAGGAAGTAGTAGAGCTGAGTAGGTGGAAAAGCCGCCGACAGTAAGTCTCGCATAGCCTGGAACGACGCACCTGTGTTAGATCCCAGCTGATAAAGAGTGGAGTAATGCGCTTGAATGTCATCCAACATTTCAGGTCGTAATCGCCGTTGAAGATCTGGATGTAGTCGTCGACGAAAACGTTTGTGTAGCCCGAGTGAGGTGGGAGATGACAACGAATGACGCCGAAAGTCAGCCAGATGCTCACGGAAGCCAATCTTTCGAAGAAGTCTATGTACCCAGGGTGCATTCAAATGCGGACGTAGCAAGCATCAACCGGAATGGCACAGAAAAGCCAGTAAGTGTTGGATCGCTTCCAGTAGTGAAGTGCAGGTTCGAAGAAGGCATGGCGTCCCCGAAGTAGTTATAGAAATTTGCGACTGCGTGAGTGTTCTCGTCGAAGAACATCCTGATTTCACACAGCAGAGACGTCTTGTAGAAGTGAAGAACCTCGAAAAACGGCGGGACATACCCATAATCTTGAGAAATGAGACGCTGTAAGAAACTGATCAATAAATAGGCCGTGCACCGGCACCTGTGAAGTTCATACCTGTTGGCCACAGTGTGATAAGACTGCGACATGGAGTGAATCGGAATCTGAAGTGCGATCCGAACCACAACTAGTACTTCCAGAATGTGGCCCAGCCAAGGTAGTCGCTCAACTGACTCATATTCATCCATTGGTATCGACGGTGGTGGAAGTCCAGGAAAGCAGTATTGCCAGCACGTAGAGAACATTGTCAACGAGTGCAGAAAGGTATCTAAGGAATGCCAATGTGCCACATCATCGTAGATTCCACAGCGGCGAAGCTCAGCCAACATGGTGAACATGCAACCAATGAAATCTACAATGTGGCGGCGACAGAAATGCAAGCGGCAATGAACACCAAGCAATTGACAACGCAAGCAAAGACAAGCGCATCATCAAACAAGTGCAGAGCAAGAAGAGGACGGACAAGTTTTGAACCTTTCATCAATCGTGACACAGCTGCCACTCCGGGCTCATAAGTGAACGAAGGGAACTGCTCACCCTGTGAGTAAGCGGGCCGTCACGATGAGGTGACACAGCGCCTTGTCAGTGAGCTTGGTGAGGTAGCCAGGCTCCAGTCCCCACAGAGCCGCCATCGCCGCAAACGTAGGTGCGTCTCCTTTCGGCATGCGTTGACGCGCCTGAAAGAGCTGGGTCGACATGGATTCCAAGGACTTGTTGCCGTTGAGACGGGATGGGTGATTGGCCCACTTGATCAATGACGCCAAAGTAGTGGTAGAGGGCGATTGCTTGAGATACAAGCGTGGCTGATCACTAGTCCATGTGTAGTGCTTGATGACGTCTTCTGGCGTGCTGTGCATGGTGAGCAATTGTGACGCCGCCGGCTTGGAGGGCGGTGAAGAAAGTCCGTGAAGAGACTGAATGATTCGGGGTTGCACTGCGCCATCAAACGACTTGCCATCAAGGGCCGCTGCACTGACCGTAGGTAGGGAGCTGGTCGGTGTCGAAGATTGTGTGTGATTGGCCGGTGGTGGCGTAACCAACTCTGCATCATCCTTCTGGGTTGGCACCGTAGGGGAAGTCGAAGCGCGTAACGATGCCGAATACTGAGCCTGCAGCAACTCATGAGCTCGATTTAGATCATTGAACTTCTTGACCATGTCATCCGTTTGGGTAGAGGGCGTGAGAGTGGCGTGGTGTTGCTGAAGAAACTGAAGCACCAAGTTGGCCAAATGGTCATGAACCTTGATGCGCTGGTTGAAGTCGTCAAGGTTGAGCCCCAGTGAGCTGGCAAGGTCCTTTTCCAAAGTAAGCAGGTTGATCGACTGTGATCGTCGTAGCAGTTTGGAACAGGTACTCCAAAGCAGGGCCTCGGTGCGAGTGCGAAAGCCTTCCCACGTCACGAATCTGCCGTGAGCAAATGGGCGGAGTAGCCAGTTGGTGATGCCCCCGTGAATGACCTGAACCAGGCGAACGTCTCGGATGTCCATGCCAGACATGTCACGTAGGTTGTTGTGCGGGGTGTTGGCAACCGTCATGGGCAGGCTAAAGGAGTAGAGCTGGTTGATGTCTAGCATGCCATCTCCAGGTGTCCAGTCAACCGGTGGAGTAAGCCAGGCTTTCTGAGGTCGAACTGGTAGCGCAGCTAGATGTCCAGGCGATGGTGAAGCTTGGGAAGAAGTATAACCGGTGGTGGCATCACGGGCGTCATGAACTTCGCTGGCGTGGGCTCTGGAGGAACCGGCATCATGTAGTTGACCGGTGAATGATGGAACTGCTGCGTAGGGTTTGGAATCGATTGATAATTGCTTGGCATCACCGGAAAATTGCTGTTGGAGTTGTAGCCCGAATTGTGTTGCCAGGATACCAAGTTGTTCCAATCCATGCCCTCCAAGACCTGATTGTCATTGTGTTCACGTCGGAGTGCTTTGCAAAACCGCAACACCTCAATCTTGAGAGAATCGAATCCGACAAGATGCAAGTCAACGCAAGTTCAAGCCAAGCACAGATCAACACGCGGCCATGCAGCCAACAGCAGCAATTGTGAGACTTAGCTATGATCTGGCGGCTGTCTTCCCTTTAGTGAAACCTCGTTCCTGGTTAAATGTGAAATTCCGCTGTTCTATGATAAGCACGTTGAGGTCACATTTTCCGACAGAGCCGGCCCGGGGTCACACAATGGGTACACCCGAGGATTCCCCACGAATGGGGTGTACACACTTAAACTCCAGATGGAGGGTGCTAATCCTTTCGAGTACAACTGGTCAGTCTCGGCTTGGATAAGGTTCTTCATGAATAAGTTTCGGCTCACAGTCACTTGGCTTCCCTCTAGGAGCGAACACGTTACCCGAAAGAACAAGAAGCACAAACAGCGCCGCAACCAAGGGGGCCAAAAGGACGTTGCATCACGGCAGGTACGTCAGTCCAGCGTCCTGGACTGATTTCACGATCCAATGGTGCGGTCTTCGTTTTGGGCGATGCACACCAAAGGAACCATCGCCCCCCTGCAACTGATTCAGGCGTTTCCAGTGGTGACAGGGTATTCTGTCACTCCGCACACACACACACTCACACTCACACACACACACACACACACACACACACACACACACACACACACACACACACACACACACACACACACACACACACACACACACACACACGCGGACGCCCACGCCCACGCCCACGCCCGCGCCCACGCCCACGCCAACGCGCACACGCACGCACGCACACACCCACCCACCAACACACACACACACAAACACACACCCACACGCACACGCGCACAGACACACATGCACACACGCAGGCAGGCAGGCAGGCAGGCAGGCAGGCAGGCAGGCAGGCAGGCAGGCAGGCAGGCAGGCAGGCAGGCAGGCAGGCGTGCAGCACGCAGGCACGCAGGCAGCGCGCACAGCAAATGGGTGCCACCCCGCGTATTCACCCCGCTCCTTTCTTCACATCTCGGTGCCCGGCACAGAGCAGCTCGCACTTTGCAAACCTCAATCTGCGGCAGCACCCCTCATGGTGCACAAACCCTTGCGATACCGAAGTGGTTGATTCCCATGACTACTTTCTCACTTTAAAGGGTTCACGCTCGTTCTCTTTACTTTTTTCCCGGAAGCGTTTGGAAGGGTTCTTCTTCTAAAAGCGGCTGCGAACTTCACCTGCCAACTTCTCATGCAAACTTGCGGAGGAGTTATTTCACCTGCCAACTTCTCATGCCAACTTTTCGAGAGTTACTTCACCAGCCAACTTCTCATGTCAACTTTTCAAGAGTCACTTCACCTGCTTCATGTCAACCTTTCGGGCTCTATCTCATTATTCTAAGCGCAAGCTAACTTTTTGGGTGTTACTTCACTATACTAACAAACACAAGCTGACTTTCTTTTGTACCTTCACTTCTCGACTCTTAATTCTTCTCCTTTTTCTGGCGGGGGTAGGCCTTACAAAACTCACCCCTCTGCGGAGATCTGATCTTGCGTGTCGAAGCCCTTTTGCTGCGGCACAGTGCGAATGTGGCTTGCTCTCGGCGAGCCCTCTTCGGAGATCGTGTGTCGAAGCGCTCTCACTGTGGCGACGTGCGAATGTGCCTTGGTCTCCGCGAACCCTCTGCGGAGATCGTGCGCGTCGAAGCGCTCTCGCTGTGGCGCCGTGTGAATTTGTCTTGACCGCGGCAAACCCTTTGCGGACATCGTGCGTGTCGAAGCGCTCTCGCTGTGGCGCCGAGCAAACCGCGGCGAACCCTCCACGAAGATCGTGCGTGTCGAAGCGCTCTCGCTGTGGCGCCGTGTGAATTTGTCTTGACCGCGGCAAACCCTCTGCGGAGATGAGTCGAAGCGCTCTGTGGCGCCGTGCGAATTTGTCTTGACCGCGGCGAGCCCGCTGCGGAGATCGTGTGTGTCGAAGCGGTCTTGCTGCGGCGCCGTGCGAATTTTCTGGCTTTCGCTGCTTGCGAATGGTCTTTGAAAGTTGTCTCGTGGTTTGCGCGCCGGCTTTCACAATCGGGGCGTCGCGGGTTCGATCCCCCCCTCATCCGCGCCAGCTCCGGCAATTCTCAAGTACCAAAGTATGTTGCTGAATGGCTGGGAAATGGAAACATTGTAGCACAAAAGTACTACGCAAAGTGCGTTCCCGCAGCTCCGGCTGAACTCGCAAGTTTCAAGCGCACAAGCAGCACGCGAAGAGCACTGCGGCTCAGGATTGAAACTCGCATTTTTTACGACAACAGTGGTGCAACTTTTGAGTACAAAAGTAGTACATGAAGTGCACTCCCGCAGCTCCCGCTGCACAACCGCACCTGTTACGTACAAAAGTAGTACGCGACGCGCATTCCTGCAGCTCCAGCTCGAAATTCGCAACGTCTAAGTACAAAAGTATTGCGCGAAGTGCATTTCCGCAGCTCCGGCTGAAAGCTTGCAAGTTAAAAGTGCTAAAGTAGTACGCGAAGAGCACTCCCAGAGCTCCGACTGCAAAATCACAATTATTAAGTACAAGCGTAGTCCCCAACTCCAGCTCGAAATTCGCAAATCTTCCGCACAAAAGTGGTACACGAAGAGCACTCCCGCAGCTTTGGCTCGAGATTAAAATGCTTTTAGTACAAAAGTAGTGCGCGAAGTGCACGGCGCGAAGTGCATTCCCATGGCCTTGGCTGGTTAAGAATAGCAATTTTCAAGTACAAGAATATAGTGCGGCAACTGTGCTGCCGCAGCTGTGGCTGCAAAATCGCAAGTTTTGGGTACAAAAGTAGTACGCGAAGTGCATTCCCGCAGCTCCGCAAAGTGCACTCCCATGGCTCCGGCTCAAGAATCGCAACTTTGAAGTGCAAAAGCAGTGCGCGAGTGCAATCCCGCAGCTCCGGCTGAAACATCTCACGCAAAGGTCGTGCGCGAAGTGCGCTCTCGCAGCCCCAGCTCGAAAATCACAGTTTTTAAGCGCAGAAAGAATGTTCGGAGAGTGCGCTCCACTATGTCCAGCTTGCGCATCTCCAGCTTGAAAATCTTAACTTATGCACGCAAAAGTAGTGTGCAAAGTGCACCTCCATAGCTAAGACAGCCAGCCTTATTGCGCAGCCAAACTGCGCACTGAGTTGGACAAGAGAGGTTGACAAAAGAAACGGGCACAAAGAGTGGACAAGAGGTGTTGTAGAGCACCATGGGCAGCATTACGCACAGTGTCACGCGCAGCATGATTTGCAACATCATGGGCAGCATCACGCACGGCGCCACGCACAGCTTCGCGCACAGCACCAACGAGAAACTGCGAAGAATGATGCTAAGCTTGCTCATCAGAACTTGCAGAGGCTCGGCTTGAGCAGGGACATTGACGTGTTTACGCTTTGCTTCTCATGAGGTGGGGGAGGCGCCAGAGTTGGTTTATAACGTGTTGCTTTGCTTCCGGGCCACCCGTCGTCTAGTTTTTGTTTTTGTTTTCTCTCTCTCTCTCTCTCTCTTTCGCACCCTGTTTCTCAAAGTTGGTGCCCCCTTCCGGGATGGCTTTGCAGTAACAGGAATCCAAAAGGACATCAACCACCGAATTTGCCCCCTAGGTGCCAAAAAGCAAAAGTGGTTAGAACCTTGACTGTGAAACTGGAACACCAGTTCGATCAACTTGCTTCGGGCAACTGAGTGAAGGGTTCCCGCCCCACGGTGCCATCCAATGGATGCTGGGCACCCGACGCCCACGCAGTGTTTGAAAGCGCCTGGTTGTCCGCTGCCTGACATCCCACCCGTGGAGACTCAAGGTCGCTCCCAGTTACTTCCAGGGTGCAAACCTCAAGTTGGCTGCCGCAAGACAAGCCTCTTTTACAAACGTGGAAAACACGTTTGCAGTGGATAATGGCAGATAGAAGTAGTGCGCTGGGAACAACAAAGTGTCAGGCGTTGCCAGCCATCTGCGAGGATAGGCTGTCACAAAAACCTGACTTGTAAGAATCTCTCTCTCTCGTTGTCCCTCTCTCTCTCTCTCTCTTTCTTTCTTTCTTTCTTTCTCTCGCTCTCTCTCTGCCTCTCTCTCTGCCTCTCCCTCTTAGAGACTTCGGTCAGTCGATGAATGGACGAATGGACGAACGGACGGACGGACGGACGGATGGATGGAGGGATGGAGGGCTGGAAGGGATGGATGGATGGAGCCAACCTCCTCGAGCTTGCGGAGGAAAGCGGCTCGTGACACACAGTCAAATAGCTGCGACCGTCGAGCGAGACCGTGGTGGATGCTAGGCAGTCCGCACGGCCACCATCTGGCCGCAACCCGGGGTTTCGGAGGGTGCTTGTTTGGTCAACCAAAAGCGCCTCCTCTGGCCCCCCCCACATGTAACAAGAAGACGCAAAGATGCGACAAGGCTCCTGCTACGGGTGGGGATTGCCCCAGCGTCTAACAAGACAACGCAAGATGCTACAAGGCTCCTACTACTGTGGATGGACGAAATCCTGCACCACTTTGAAACCACAGCAAACCATTGTTTGTTGGTATTTACAGGGGAAGCATCACCCCAAGGTTATTTGGGTAGTGCAGGATTTCGTCCATGCACAGCATGGGAAGGGACCCCCGCGCGTCTAACAAGAGGACGCAACAGATGCTACAAGCCTCCTGCTATGGGGGGGGGGAAAGGGGCGTGGAGATGGCATCTTGTTGGTGTCCGTGCCCCTGGAATGCCTGTGGGGGCAGGTCGCCGGGTATCGTCAAATGACGCGGCGGCTGTCCGAGAGAAGGGAAGGTGGAACAAGCGCATCCATGGGCGGCGGGGCGGGGTGGGTGGGTCGATGGATTGACTGGTTCAGATATACATGGCCTTTGTCTATCTGCCTTACTTGCCAACCTACCAGGCGGTATGTTGTCGTGCTTTCTACTACCGAATGTAATGTTGACCCAGGATTTACAAACCCTTCCCATTATCAGGGGGGTGTTCCCTCCAAAAGTGGTCTGAATCCCACTAAAGGGGAAGTTAACATTATGTACATTCATGTGCCATCATGTCGCTGGGGCCGGTGCTCCGGCGCGAATTCTTTCCACCGCCTCCGCGCCAATCGCCTGGCAACGTGCAAAGCACTCATCCCAAGCTATGGGTCATGTTGGGGGTTGGTCCATGGGTTGAATGCCAATGGGTTGAATGCCAATGGGTTGAATGCCAATGGGTTGACTGCCAATGGGTTGAATGCCAATGGGTTGAATGCCAATGGGTTGAATGCCAATGGGTTGAATGCCAATGGGTTGAATGCCAATGGGTTGAATGCCAATGGGTTGAATGCCAATGGGTTGACTGCCAATGGGTTGACTGCCAATGGGTTGACTGCCAATGGGTTGACTGCCAATGGGTTGACTGCCAATGGGTTGACTGCCAATGGGCTGAATGCCAATGAGTTGAATGCCAATGGGTTGAATGCCAATGGGTTGAATGCCAATGGGTTGAATGCCAATGGGTTGACTGCCAATGGGTTGAATGCCAATGGGTTGACTGCCAATGGGTTGAATGCAAATGGGTTGACTGCCAATGGGTTGACTGCCAATGGGTTGACTGCCAATGGGTTGACTGCCAATGGGTTGACTGTCAATGGGTTGACTGTCAATGGGCTGAATGCCAATGGGTTGAATGCCGATGGGTTGAATGCCGATGGGTTGAATGCCACTGGGTTGAATGCCAATGGGTTGAATGCCAATGGGTTGACTGCCAATGGGTTGAATGCCAATGGGTTGAATGCCAATGGGTTGAATGCCAATGGGTTGCATGCCAATCGGTTGCATGCCAATGGGTTGAATGCCAATGGGTTGAATGCCAATGGGTTGAATGCCAATGGGTTGAGTGCCAATGGGTTGAATGCCAATGGGTTGAATGCCAATGGGTTGGGTGCCAATGGGTTGACCTATTGGTCCCCTCCGTCTCGGCCGGCAAGGGGTCTTAAGCTCTTTGCGCAAGTGGGCGTCCAAACCCCGGGCATCCACAGGCCCATGCGAGAAAAGGTGAGAAATGTCTTTGTTGGGGACCCCTAAGGGTCAGAACAACTGCATTTCAGCCCGAACCCACGTCAATGTTACTGGCCTACGGCCAAAGGAGCGGCCCTAACGACCCCTTTGCAAAAAGTGGATGACTTGTTGTGGGTTTAATGGAAACCCCCCTTGAACCCACAATCTGAACGCTGCACAGACGAATTTGAAGCAGCGACTAGCAGCAAGGCACACCAAAAACCACCTTGAGTTCAACCAAAAAGTGAAAGTCTAAAGATCCAACCCAGCACTTCACCTGAGTGCCAAGGCCTCCATCAGGATCTCGTTGGCTGCGCTGACCTGTGGCCGAAACGATCCAACGGTGATGTTCAAAAAAATCCAGGGGGGGGGTGAGGGCCACTGCCGGGGTACCTATCCCAGAAGGGAACTGGTACCTTTGTGGTAGTAGAGGTCGTTGATTTGGTCCCTGGATCTATTCCGGAGAGAATCCAATATGCCACTATGGATGATTGGAGGATGGATTGTCCCTGGTGGATTGTCTTGTGGATAATCCTGTAGGCGGCCTGCGGCCTGCAAAGGTTCTTTTGTCACGCAATCATGAATGTTGCTATGTTACACAAAAGGGGCCTTGAGCCAAATGTTGCAGGAGATCAAGTGTTCACAAAACCAAACAAAACAGACACAAATTTCTTTTGATCTCCAGCACTAAGTATGAAATGCTATTGGCTTCATGGCCTTTGGCCGTAGCCTTGCTGTATGCCGTAGCCATGCTGTATGCCGTAGCCATGTGTATGAAAAATGCCGGATTCATCCTCTTTTCTGCTCGGATGAAATGTCTTGGCTTTCGAAATGGGAAAACACTATGTACTGCTTCTTTGAGATACCTAGATGTATCAAATGGTGATGTACAACACTATGTACACGCGGGACGATTGTGAAACTATTGATCTCTCACTGTATAGTCTTGTAGGCGGGGAGGATCAATCATCTGAATTGAGTTCGTGGTGCTGAACGTGTGAATCTTCATGGTCAGTCGGATCGACGACACCATCGACGGCTGCTGTCGGATTGACTGCCATAGTTTCGAGGTGCTATAGTCCTTCCACTGCTTCTGATGTCCCCACTGCTTGTTGTAGTCCTTGTACTCCTGCGGGGTCCAGGCTTGTTTCTTCTTGAGGTACTCCTGGTATCTCTCAGAGTTGCGTTGCCTGGTTGCAGATTTGCTGCGGATGTAAACCATGAGGGGACTGTGCGAGTCGGAGTCCTGTGAGCCATTCATGAACATGTCATTGTTCACGTGCTTGAAGCGCTCTGCGGATGAGACCTGGTAATCGAATATGTCCTTGGTTGGATCGTTCCGCATGGATTCCAGTTGTTCATCTTCCATGCCGTTCATCTCGTCTTTCCGGAAAGCCTGCTGGATGTTCGTATTGCCCCATCCAAATACGAAAGTCATCATCACATCTGGGAATGTCCGATCATATCCGATCCACACTTCATGTACAGGTGATGACGGACAATGGATTTTAGGGCGCACGAAGTCTCCATTGCAAACTCCATTCTGTCCACGAGTGGCAAATTCTTCGTTTCATTCCACAGTCTCTGATACGCCTTCATGAGGATGTTCACGAGACCGTTGGCCGGATTGAAGACGTGCTGGAGTTTGCTGTAGGTATTCGCTGATTTATTGGCGTCTCCGGTGATCGCATCGCATCGGTACAAAGTCACGAGCGGCATGAGTGCATTCTGAAGATCTTCCCGCGCTGCTCCATGGCTGATTGAAGGATGAATGTGGAAAACTCCAATGGTAGCAAATGGGAGGTCTGCCCTCGTTGTGTGGCGGTCGTCATACTCGTGGAGTGACTTGTTGGATGATTTCGGGAGCATGCCACGAAACTCATCACTCTGCTCGATGTGGAGAACGACAATCTCCTTGTCTCGGCCATGTCCTTGGACAACGGTGCGTGCTGGCAATCTCGGTCCAATGTACTTCTTGGATTCAGTAAACATGGATGGTCCCGTAGTTGCCAAGCAATCCGAGGTCGGAATTTCGTATTCGGAATCAGTGCAACCCTGAGCATCGGATATTGATTACAATCAATAAACTTCCTGGTTTTTATATTGATTTTGAATAGTTTGATTACATTGATTTTTCAAAATTTGCTGGATGAAAAAGTTTGATTCTCCAGATTGATTTATATATTGATTCTCATATTGATTGTAAGGGTGGTTTTGCATTGGTTTTAATATTGATTTCCAGATTGATTTGTTTGCTTTCCATATTGATTTCCATATTGACTTTTTGCATGGGACCTTTTTGCTGTGAGTACATTTGCAGCATGTTGGCTTACAGTTTGCTGGGAAGCCTTTGAATAAAGGGGGCAACTTGCTAAAGGCTTTGTACGTTGAAAGGGACAGCAACCCAAAGAGCCCCTTGCTACAGGGTGTTAAAGCCCTTGAAAAAGGGAATGGGAAAAGGAGGCAGGGGAGGAGCTAGGCATTTCTCCAAACCATATGTGCATGCAGGGCTCCTGCTGAAACTGCTGAGCAAGCATGAAGAAATCATGAAAGATTTCAAAAGCTATGAAGCTTTGTCCAGGAACAGTGGTATTGACCCCAGTAAATGCCCTTCATTTTGTAAATGATGTGCTTGACTTGGCACCCAGCTGTGAGTTGCACCCTCAACCATTGAGAAATGGCCTGATACAGCTACTGAGTGTTAAGCCACAGCTGAACACAACAAAATTTAATGGGTGTGTGTGGGCAAACTTGAGGGCTGAAAGGGTCGGGGTTGCTGCTGTGGTGCTTTGACAAGCATGGAATTTCAATGGCTGAAGACAACCCTTGAAAAAGTGCAGCTTAAAGAAAGTGATCACCCAGACCCCCTTGCAAAAGAGGATTCCCTTTCACAAGGGATGACCAAAAAATATCCTTGCAAAGGGAAAAAGTATGAGGCCAGTGATGAGGCAGGAGAGCCTGCGCAAAATACATCTGGCAGCAAAGGCCCATTGCCAGCAACAAAGGTCAAGCTGAAACCTGAACAAGCACGTGGCAGCCAAGGGCCCTTGCCAACAGCAAAGAAGAAATTAAAGAAAAACATCAGTGATCTGTCAGTAGACTCTGATGGCTTTCCAAAATGTTGGAAAGCCCACCAAAGCAGGAGGTTCCCCAGAAGGCAGCCCCAACCAGGATCTTTAAAAAGGCTATTGGCAACCCTAAGCCCATCGCCTATTTGCCAAATCTGAAGGGGGCCATGGGCTGGAAGCAGGACAAGCCAGCCACTTCAGTTATGAAAACAGGTTTGAAAAAACCTGTAGCAGCTGCCAAAAGGCCAGCAGCCTTGCAAAAGGCAGTGGAAAGCCCTAGGACGCCTGCATGCTCAGAATCTAAGCCTTGGCTTAGCATAAGAAAAACAATGGCCTCCAAACCTGAAAGGTGCTACTTGACAGGCACAAAAGAAACAGGTGGAAAGTTGAAGCTTGTTGTTGAAGTCCCAAAAACATGGAGCAACAGGTACCCCCTGGTCATTGGCAAAATCAAGGAAGCCATGTTGGCAGAAAATCTGTCAAAAGAAGAAGCTGTGGCCTTGAGGTCAAAGCTGTGGCCTTGAGGCCAAAGCTGTGCAAGCAGTACCCTTGAGGAAAATCCTCTTGTTTAAAAAAGCACCTTTGCAAAAGGGATGCATAAAAAACACTTAACCTGTGACAAAAGGAAAGCCAATCTGAAGAAGTACCCTTGAAAAGTGCAGTACACCCTTGACAAAAGGGAGGCTGGAGGAGAACCCTTGAAAAGGGGGAGGGGCACACAAAGTGCCCTTGAAAAAGGGAACACAAGCATGCCCTTTTGCAAGGGGTTGGCGCTGCTGGCCACAAGAGCCTAGCAAGAACTTTGGGAAAGGAGAAAAATTGGTTTGCGAGCTCCAGGGTTGCAAGGGTAGCTAAGGGCCCCCCCCCCCAAAAAAAAACCAAGAATTGCAAGGGTCAGGTGGTCCCCCTTAAGAAAGGCAGATGAAACATGGTTGTCTTGCAAATGTGTTGTTTGCGTGGGGGGTGGGGCTGCTAATAACTGTGTTTCTTATAAGGGTTCGGTATGCATGCATGGGTCTGCAGCCATTTTGGCTTAAGCCTAGCTACCTAGGGCCATGAGTGGTGGTGAGTGGATGAGTTGGGAATGGAAGGAGTGGAGGGAAAAACTCGCCCTGGAAAAAGGGGTGTTTGGGAACAAAGCAGGCAGGAACAGCGGGCAGGGCACAACCAGCAAAGCCAGGCAAGCCAGAAGAGCCCACCTGCAACCACAGCCACCACCTGAAAAGGTGAAAGAACAGTGGGAAGAGCCGGAAAGCTGGCAGCAAAACACTTGCAAAAGTGAGGGTTACACCTGGGAAGGTGACACTTGGCCAAGTGAAGCCTGGACAGGCAACACTTGGCAAAGTGACACCTGGGAAGATTGGGAAGATGACACTTGGCAAAGTGACACCTGGACAGATGACACTTGGCAAAGTGACACTTGGCAAAGTGACACCTGGCAAAGTGACACCTGGCAGCACGCAGGCTGGAAGCCAAAAAGGAGCAGAAGCAGGGCCTCAAGCAAAAGCAGCCAAAGGAGCAGGAGCCAAAGGAGGCAAAGGTCAAGCAGCCAAAGCTCTGGAAGCTCTGCAGGAGGAAACCCCATGTCTGTGGACTGGGACAACTCCAGCTCAGAGTCCAGGTCATCCAGCCCTGCCAGGAAAAAATTGGTTTGGCACAAGCAGGAAAAGGACACGCCTGGCACCTGAGTAAGCAACTATGGGGTGGGCCAACTTGAGCCTTTGCTAGAGGAAGCCAAAGCCTCTGAAAAGGGGGGGGGGAGCCAGAGCCAGCCGAGGGAGCACCTGAAAAGGTGGATGCACAGGAGCAGGGGGGGGCAAAGAAAAAGGTAAAGGAAGAACCCAGCCACGAAACCCCTGAAAAGGGGAGCCACAGAAAACCCTTGAAAAGTGGGCCAGGCCAAAGCCAAGAGGAGCCAAGCCAGAACACCCTGGCAAGCCAAGAGGAGCCAAGCCAGAAAACCTCTCAAAAGGGGAAACCAAGCCAGAACAAGATCCTGGCAAAGGGAGAGCCAAGCCAAGAGGAGAACACCCCTGAAAAGGGGGCTGCACCTGCCTCAAAGCCCAAGACCAAAGTCATGATTGACTTTCACAATGTGAAGGAAGTCAATGGCTACGTCCCAGACCAGCACATTGAAGCCATTCAAGAGCTGCTTGGCTTGGGGCATGAGGTGGTTGTGTGCAGCTATGCCTTTGCAAAAAGGGAAAAGGAGGTGATGAGGACATTGCAGAGCTTGCCCTTCTGGGGCCAGCT